AGCTGTAGGACAGAACACTCGAAACACCATCCAATGAAGCATCACAACAAAAGGACAAATGAATAACTTAAGAATATGAAAGGAATGAATCCAGTATTTGAAGGACTCAGGACCAACACAGCTGGCAGCCTGGCGCCACACTTCAGGTGCTCCTCTAACCAACTGCAGGAGGAAGTAAAACCAGCAGCTTTAGTTCTTTCTGCTGAAGTAACTCGACTGTAAGGAGACACCAGGCTCCATCGGGTGGTGTCAGTAGTGGAAATCTTCAGAAACTCACATGGATTTTGTATTTCTGGAGTAAACGTTGGCACGAGAGAAAAACTCTTGATCTGCTTGATTCTGCGTTTATGTAACTGCTCTCCGCCCAGCAGCTCTATTTCATACAAAGGACAGCAGACATAGTGGCACATGATGAGTACTGATAAAGCTGAGGTGTGAACATCAGCTCCCCTGTGGATACAGTTACCAGAATCTCCTTTCTCTTGTGTCGCTGCACAAAGACTGGATTCTCGAGAGGCTTGTTTCAGCCTCGACTGTTTGAACAGTTTTACAGTTTTGACCTTGTTTTCATGTTGCCCTGCTGTGCGACACACACGCACCACTATGCACACACACCACACACAACACCACACAGCATGCACGCTTGTTACAGAGGTGTCAGACTGTGGTCACACACAACAACCATCACACACACCTGAAACCAATCAGACAGACCCCTATCGTGGTGCGTATGTATGTTGTGTGTGTGTGTGGTGTGTGTGTGTGTTACAGACGGTGTGCCATGTTGCTTGTTAGCAGCCACTGTACCCATCCACACACACACACCGTTTTTGTAATTATATACTTGTGAAGACCCTAACGACATAATACATTCCCTAAGCTCATTAAAACAAACTCATAGACCCTAAAACAAAAAAAGGAAATAAAAAAAGTCTTAGAAGACAGAAACACACACACCACACACACAACTAGTCTCAATCCTATCATTGCTCCTATTATTTATATTATTCTGCCTTCAGTTTGTCTCCCACTGCTGACCTTTGACCTTGAGGTTTACATGCTGCTGTGTTCACAGACGTCCTGCCTGGCTGCCATGAAATGGAGGCTAATTAAAATCAGGGAAGCTTTTCAACTGACAGCTCAAGAAAGCAGACTTTCCTGACTGGTTGCACTGGGAAACTGCCCTGCCCCCACGCCCCTCCCCCCCCTCCACCCCTCACCCCTCCACCCCCCCCACCCCACCCAGAAAAAGTTGGTTCTCGACTTGTGTGTTGGCAAAAAGAAAAACGCTGAGAGGCCGAGTGTGGAGACTTGAGTCACCAGCGAGGATGTTGCAGTCGTGTACTGAGAGATGAAGAAACCAGGTAACTTGTGTTCCCTGTGAAGTGTGCAGGTCTGGGGGACTGAATCCAAACCCAGCTCTCTCTGCTGGTTGACCTGCTGTTTTTGGACTGTGGTAGAACGTCTGACTCTGGATTCAGGACCAGGACCAAGACAAAAAGAATCAGCCCTCAGAAACCTCAACACTGCAGAGCGGTTGAGATCTCCGTTAGACAGGAATTAACATGTATGTGAAGTTATCCACACAAACAATAATCTTATCTGCGTCTTGTGACAGTCACCAGGTAATAGTAGAAAACTATGCCGTTCAATTCACAAGTGATCTGCCAGGAATGCGCGTTTGCATGTATCTGATTGGCCAGTGTGTTCATTTTGACATCACACAGCTAGATGTCACAAAAGCGGAACCAGGTTCCACTTCTTTTCTTTTTTTAGGAGTTTCTTCACTGGAGTCCTTTGTGTGTGGACCCCTGCTGCATCAGTGAACAGGCTCATTCCATTCATCAACGAGGTTGAGCATTTTTTCATGCCGTGCTTGTCTGTCTGTCTGTAAGGTGGCCTCGGAGCAGTCCGTTACACAACAACAGGATGGGGCTGTTACACAGAACCATGCCTCCGCCATTTCCCACACACAAACTGGTATTTAATAAAAGCATGAGCAGTGAGAAAGTGTCACTTCATCAACAAAACACATTCTATAGACCAGTGAGCACATGTTTTCTACCAGTATACCTGCAGGTGAGGCGATAAGGAGGAGATTAAGTATAAAAGGTGGGAATGTAACCTTGTAGAACATTGTTTGTTTAGGTTGCAGCTGGAGCAAAGTGACTGAGGACCGTCTCAGTCCTAGGCGGAACTGGGTGGCGAGATCTGTTCGTGGTCACAAAATTGCTTGGCCTCTTCATCTTGTCTAATACAACTCCGCCTGAGCTGAACAACCAACAGCTCTCGATGTCTCTACGCGGATAACCGCCATGGTCATCGCCAGTCGACCAGCGGGGAGTGGCAAACAGCTCCATCAACTGTGACTTAGGGCGTGCACGTATATGCAAACATGATACAAACTTTGCGACATTTGAGGTAGAGATTTGAGTGCGCCTTTAGACTGTGCAACCAAAGATTGTGAAAATACGTCACACTGTTGCCAGAGACAACGTCAGTCGATGATATCAGTTTGATACCAGTTTGTCAGATTGTGCACATTTAACAGTCCTGTAACTGTGGAAGGTCTCCGACGCTCAAATAGAAAAAATGTCATCACCTTTTATGTCTTTAAGTAAATTGCAAGCTTCTGGTGAATTTTCTTCCTTTGGCTAGAAGTCCACAGAATACTTATTTTTCTGTTTGGTGTGGCGTGGTGGCCCGCGAGACATTCAGGTCAGGCGTTGGTGGAGGAGTTATCAGTCGCCGTTCTCACGGTTGAGCGAAAGCCGTGGCTCAGTCGCATGGCTGCCCCCCCACGGCAGCGGAAATGGCAACTGAGCTCCAAACACGTCATATTGAAGATGTGTCAGATGGCTCCGACACTTGTTACAGACTGACAATTTCTACAATAAACAGCACCACTGAACCAGAGAAAGAGAATAGTTTTCGTTCCATTGATTGCCTGTTGCCAGGTGTGTTTTTCTTCACGTAGTAATAGATGCATTTCCAGAACCAGAAAAAATAACGACAAAAAAACTGACACGACTCATCTGTGCGGGCAAATTAACAAAACATAACACTGATCAGGCTGCACAGTGGTTTATATGCAGCTGTAGGACAGAACCACTGAAACACCATCCAATGAAGCATCACAACAAAAGGAACAAATGAATAACTTAAGAATATGAAGGAATGAATCCAGTATTTGAAGGCACCTCAGGACCAAACACAGCTGGCAGCCTGGCGCCGACACTTCAGGTGCTCCTCTAACCAACTGCAGGAGGAAGTAAAACCAGCAGCTTTAGTTCTTTCTGCTGAAGTAACTCGACTGTAAGGAGACACCAGGCTCCATCGGGTGGTGTCAGTAGTGGAAATCTTCCAGGAAACTCACATGGATTTTGTATTTCTGGAGTAAACGTTGGCACGAGAGAAAAACCTTGATCTGCTTGATTCTGCGTTTATGTAACTGCTCCGCCCAGCAGCTCTATTTCATACAAAGGACAGCAGACATAGTGGCACATGATGAGTACTGAGATAAGCTGAGGTGTGAACATCAGCTCCCCTGTGAGATACAGTTACCCAGAATCCCTTTCTCTGTGTCGCTGCACAAAGACGTGGATTCTCGAGAGGCCTGTTTCAGCCTCGACTGTTTGAACAGTTTTACAGTTTTGACCTTGTTTTCATGTTGCCCTGCTGTGCGACACACACGCACACATGCACACACACACACACACACACACGCATGCACGCTTGTTACAGAGGTGTCAGACTGTGGTCACACACAACAACCATACACACACCTGAAACCAATCAGACAGACCCCCTACTGTGTGCGTATGTATGTGTGTGTGTGTGTGTGTGTGTGTGTTACAGACGGTGTGCCATGCTTGTTAGCAGCCACTGTACCCATCCACACACACACACGTTTGTAATTATATACTTGTGAAGACCCTCAACGACATAATACATTCCCTAGCACTTAAAACAAACTCATAGACCCTAAAACCAGAAAAAAGGAAATAAAAAAAGTCCTATCAAAGACAGAAACACACACACACACACACACACACACGTCTATCCTATCATGCTCCTATTATTTATATATTTCGCCTTCAGTTTGTCTCCACTGCTGACCTTTGACCCTTAGAGGTTTACATGCTGCTGTGTCCACAGACGTCCTGCTGGCAGCATGAAATGGAGGCTAATTAAAATCAAGGGAAGCTTTTCACTGACAGCTCAAGAAAAGCAGCTTTCTGACTGTTGACTGACTGCCCTGCCCACGC